CCCTTAACCACAGGAGCTACTTGATTTTTGTTTTATTGATAATAAACATTGTATATTGGCAGGGAAAACAAACAAACTCAAAAAGTAGTAAGACTGAAGGCCTGGCACAGACAAGTTACTCTGTAGAAGAAGGATTAGAATGCAAGCAAATCCAGGTGAACTTTACACAAATGTTATGCAGGCTGTGTACTTATTATTAAGGTATCTGTCTTGATACCTTGTGAATGTTCTCAATTTTTTTACATAGCTGAAGTACTAAAAATTCTTAAGAACGAAAGCTCCTCACATGTCTGGTAGAACTGAAAGGCAGTTCAGTGCACTGAAGATCCTTTTTTCATATTCCACCTGAGTTTGTTTCTCATCCCCAATAAGTTCAGCTGCTTGTAGGACCAAGCTTTAGTGGGTATGTGCAGTGTCAGAGGGATTATTTTAAAAGTTAAGTGCCTCTAGGTTTTATTTGCATCAAATTCTCATGCCTTGTCTTGGTTACTAAACAGATCAAACAGCACTTGATCTAGCCCAAGGTGCAGAAATGAAACAATTACTGGGAGGTAAAACTGGAAAGGTAGGCACTCCTCTACCCATTTAAAACACTGTTTTCCAAGACTGACTAGTTGGAGCTATTCCTATAAAAGCTTTAATTTCTGTGCAGGTTATCAACAAACCCCTGAGGAGATATGAAGGTCTCCTGTGGAAGGTACGTTTTACTTCATTTTCTACTTAAAAAAAAAAAAAAAAAGCTTACAGTATCTCCTAGTAAGTTATTTTATGTACTTAAGTTACAGTTGATAGATGATGGAGCTTTTCAGTAACATATTTGATAGGTGGCTTTTACTCTGAAATACGGGATAAGTTATAGATTGGCTGGCCAATGTGAAGCAGTAGCTAGATTCAGGCCACTCTCATCTTAAAAGCCTCAGTCCCTAAAAGACCTGGGGGTGGGACGAAGGTAATTTTTGTGGTGTATTTTCACTGTGGTAAAGTTTTTCACCTTATCTGTATAATGGGCAGAATGTTCTTTCCTCTCCTGCATAGATGTTCTGAATTTTTAATAACTTATATGACTAACCCGAATAACTTTTTTTGCTAAAAGTTAACCTTCTGTCAGATTTTTAAAAACTTACAGGTAAGATGCAAGTTAAGTGTTTATTTTTCTCTGATCTTGAAGCAGTTTTTTTTTCCTTGTAATAAGGAGGAAATTTTCTCCTTATTATACATGAACATCTAATTTTGGTGTTCCTCTATAGAACCTTTGAAGATTGAATGGATTTTCTTCAGTGTAAATTTGCCTGCGTATACACACACAGTTGTAAAATAAGGAACCATTTTCTAAATGAGACCTAGGTATTAATGCTTGTGAAAGATAAAGTGTTGCAGTTAGCATTCTTAACTTTGTTGTTTCTCATTTTGTTTTATAAAGTGGAATTGTGCTATGATCAACAATTTAATATTCAAAAATGCAGTATTTTAATATCTCATTTCCTACTGAATAGCAAGATCCACAAAAGCATGTCTTTAAGTACTTTAGTATTTGCAGGTTGTTGTGATCACCAAGATAATATGCAACACCTGAAATGTTGTAAGGACAGCCATTTTAATGTAAGAGTCTTCAAGCTATCACTCTTGCTGCAAATAGCAACTTTTCAGCTGTTAACCTTCTCCCTTTTAGAGTTCACGGTTCTTTGGTTGGAAACTGTACTGGGTAGTACTAGAACATGGAGTCCTTTCCTGGTATCGGAGGCAGTAAGTTCTCTGTTTAAATTTCTGGTAAATGAGTTAAGTAATTAGTTTCAACCATATTATTAATTTTTTTTTTTTTTTTAAGAGCTGACGCAGTAAATAATGATCATCGTCAGGGATGCAAGCATCTAACACAAGCGATCTGCACGGTAGGAAGCGAGATGAATTGCTGGTTTTGCATGTGATGATGTTCTGTACATAGACAATGACTAGGCTGGTAAGCATGCCTTTATTAAAAAGTGCTTTTGCTGTGATGAGAAACGCTTTGTCATCCTTATAAAGGAAAGTAATTCAATATCCTTAGTGACTGTTTAGCTCTTTCATCTCTCCTCAAATTCTTGAGGATAAGGCTTCCACACATCTTCATACAGCCACTTCAGCTGTGTGGAATAGGTGTGTGAACTGTGAAATGCAGAGTGACAAAGCTCCGCTTCCTCCTGTAACTTTCACTGGCTACTTGTCAGCCAAGTTTTAACTTAAGTTTATCTCAGTTAGAGAACTGAAATTTTGAAAGTGACTTCTGAAAAACCTTCTTGCAATGAAATTGAGTCATGTTTGTGGATTCCCTTTCAGAAGGGATGGATGGAAGTTAAAACAAGCCAGCTGTGACAATCCACTCCAGGCAAAAGAAGAATTAGGCCTTCCCATCACATAAGTGTATAGGAAGTGGAGAGGAGTGTAAAGCAGAGAGAGATAGAAGTGTTCAAGGAAAATGAATTTCTGTACATAAGAACATTTCTGTACTTTCCTGTTTAGCTAGAACACACATAGTGTGTATTGGCACCACAAGTTCTCTCTTAAGTTGCAGTTATATATCCTGTTGCTATATAAAAAGTGATTCTTATCTTCCAATGCCTACAATTCCTTATCTAGGTTGTCTTGCACTGTAGTTGAAACTTTGAATACAGTGTTGCTGTGCAAATATTTCCTGATCTAAAGAACCTCAGTATTTTCATTCATGAAGTAGAAAAGTGCAAGGCAACACACTTTGCAAAGCTGTTCTAATAAAGCTCCCTTATTTGTAAACTGTATTTGCTTTGTATCAAAAGTGAAGCAAAAACTTCAGAATTAACAATAATTCTCTGCTTTACTTAACAACAGTTTTGTCTTTTTTCTTTTTTTTCCAGATTCACTAAACTCATTTTTATCATTTGTCACCATTACTCTAGGTAAAATCTACGGACAGTTGCTTCTTTTCTGTCAGATGTTTTGATGACACTGTTCATCGATTCAAGATCCCGAAAAATAACACCCCTCCTCAAACTAGAGAGGTAATAATGACTTTCTTTAAAGGCTGTAAGATGTAATAACTTTTATTAATAATAATTGTTATGTTAGCTTTAGATTTTTTTTAATTAAGTATGTGTGTTCAGTATCTTGAACATCAGGACCGGGTGACATAGCTGCATGTATTGAATATTCTAACGTGGCTATAGACTACATAGCCTGTCATTCTCTTCAAATTTTGTGCCTTGTATTCCACCTCTGTTCCTGTATTATGCTCCCTAGTCTAACTTCCTTTCTGTTTTCTATTTTTTTTGATTGCAACTTTCCTCTGTTGTATTTTCTTTTGTAATTTGTTATCCCAAACATAAAAAAGGTCTTAATGATATGTTCTACCAAGCTCTAAAATGAGTTAATACATGCTATTCAAAAAAAATGTGGATCTGAAACAAGAGAATGACTTTTTCTAAAGGACTTTTTTTTTGTGGTGCAGTTATTACTGTGTACTTCTGTTGGTACGGAAACTAGAGATGATGTACAGGTAGAGGCAGCAGGAAGCTAAGAATCCACCTCCTCACTTTAGGTTTTGTGCACAGCACATCATGCATAAGGCAGACTTTGCCACAGAAACCTTGCTGTCTGAACCAGAAAGCAAAAAATGCAACATAAAATCCCTACAGTGTTTCTTTGAGTGACATTAACTACATACCTTGGGATAGGCTTAAAGAAGTGTGTGGTATTTGTGCTTAAAGTCTAATCAAGCAAGTCCTAGTTAGCACTCTGATCATGGTCCATCTCATCTTGAATATCATACGTTGCAACTTTTAGCACTCCACTTTCTCCTAGCTTTAAGGTGTCTCATGTAACTACTGAGTATCTTATTCATGTCAGTAGAACACTTTAATTCATTTTCTTTCATATCTATTTGGTGGGACTATGGAAATATATTTTAAGTCTGCCTCTTCTGTTCAGGGTTGGCTGGATGCAATAGAAGACCACTCTGCTTATAGCACCCATTACTGCACACAGGAGCAGCTCAGTAGTGACGATGAGGAAGATGATACAGTATCTGTTACAGACCTTCAAGAAACTCTGAAAGTATGTACTGAGTACTTGGCTCTTGCATCTAGGCAGTTGCAGATTAGTCCTGGTTTGTGTTGGAATAGTTCAGAATACTATTGGACCAAAGTAATGATTATTTCTTTCCACAGGCAGATAAATGCTGTTTGTATTTGCAGTGCTTCCTGTCATATATTCCTATTTGGATTGTAGATATAAAATGGCATGTTTACCAGGAGTTGATTTTTTTTTTTTTCCACTTTCAGCGCTTCTGCGAGTTAGAAAACCGTTTGAGACTCTTGGCCACGAGAGGGAGCCACCAGTACTTAATTTTTTATTCTCTAGCCTTGGTGTGACCAAATGTAACCTTCAGCTATATGTACTTCAGTAAAACAGACAATAAAGCAGCTTCAGCTGTTTCCCCCAAGTCACATCAGGTCCTCTGTACAGTGATTCTCCAGACTTGCAGTGGGGGATTACTTTAGTATCCACCTTGTGGTTCTTGCCTTTTGCGATACTTCACCTTGAAGAGAAAGGTTTTAGAAGTGTGTACATAAGCAGAATTTCTGACACTGCAACACACAAATCACCAAGTCACTTGTGCCATTCCTTGTGGTATAAAAGGAAGAACTCAAAATAGTTCACAGCAGAAGGGATATGGGAGGATACCCAGTGCTGGCAATTCAGTTCTGAGCCAGCCCACTGAAGAAGGAGCTGCCAAGAAGTGTGGGCCTTAGGAAAACTCACCAATTATTTGCTTCAGCAGTTCCTACCAGGCATCTTCTGCAGCTGGGTTCTGGATCATTCAGCAGGTTGTATCAGAGCAGTCCTGCTGTTTGTTGTGGGATTTGTCTTCAGCGTACTGGGGTGTGTGGGTACTGCCCCTCAGAAGCCTGAGCTTGACCCCCAAATCAGCATGGGGCTCCATAGTCTTGTTTTCAAGAAAAACTTGAGTTATAAAACTGAATTGCACAATCTGTCATAATAAAGTTTGGAAGTAATATTTAAGGACTGTTTTTGAAATAAAATTGTTTTCTTTAGGGGGGAAAAAAAAAAACACATTTTGATGCGTCATGAAGTAGAACAGGTGCATAGTTCAGATGCCAGCTTCTTTCTTCAGTTTTCTCAGTCCCCAATTCGCCCAGGACTGAAGGGGAGTAAAAGGGATGGAAGTGTCAGTAACCTAAACTGAAACTTTAAAGAAACAGGAGAGTTTGGACAGTCCGCTGCTGTGTGGGAAAACTGTAATAAAGTACTAAAATACTAGTGCGTACTTCAGTACTGTAGTTGAGTTAACTGTCAAAACAACCTCAGTTTTTTGGATGAGATGCTCCTGTAGTGTGTGTGATTTTTGTATGTTATATTTTAGCAATCTTACGAGAGTTCTGATAAGGGTAACTCGCCTATCTTTGATGCCTTAAAGTTATGTAACTTCAGGATGTTGGAAGGCAAATTGAATTGTTATAAATGTAGTGTGTGTTTTATAAATATATAATGAGATTATTTATATACTTAATTATTTCAGAAGTGCCTTTTTCTCTACTCACACTCTTCCAGAAAGCACAAGCATGCCAACAAAGACTCAACAAAGAGATTTCAGACTTCCTTACAATGGTTAAATCTTTGGATGCTACAAAAGGTAAAACCGCTTAGTTTTATAAAAACTGCCATCGGTTACCAAGCAACTCATTTTCCTTTTTAAGGAGCATGTACCTTAACTTTTCTGAATTTAGATTAAGAGGTTGCACACAGGGGTCTGCTTTCCTTATTGAAGCAGTTTCAAATTAAATGATTATAAGAACTAAGATTTCAGAGTCAAGAAACAACTAGGGATTACTTCAAAAAAAATGGAGCTGTAAATAGGGTGAAATCTCTCTTAAATATAGCTTTACAAGATCTTAGCCTTTTATCGAGGCTTAGGACTTTTATCAAGGCTTTTGAAAATCTGTAATTGGTTTGTTTTTTTGCAGAGCATAAATGTGCTATGCACAATACAGAGAGCTGTCTGCCTTACAGTAGCGTCAAACTCAAATCATAATTTCCGTTATAGTGAGTAGAAATACAATGAAAGCTGACACATGATAAACAGAGTGTGACGTGAAATCATAAAACTATAATTGTGGATATAAGATGCAATGGGATATATTCCGCAGTTACCTGCCATGAGTTTTATGCCAAATTTGAACTTCTCAGGCTCTGTTTTAAATGATAACTCTTAAATTGAAATGTCAGGGATTTTTGCAGTATAAGCCTAAAAATAACATAAACATCGAAATACTGGAGATCAGAAGTCTTGCTTCACTTAATGCCCTAAACCTGCCCATGTGTTAAATGCTCAAAGGAGAATAAGGCAGCTCCACATACGTGTTTAACTGTTGCTCTTTCATTACCTCAGTTTTAGCTACTTATTTTGGCTAAACTTTATGAAGCTTAAACTGAAGTACAAGTTGTTTATCTATAAAAATCTGTAGCTTAGAACAGAGGGTTTGGTAGGAAGAAGGTTTGGCACCCACTGGTCCCACCCTCCCACTCCAGTACCCTCCCAAATGGAATCTAAAATACAGATTTTCTCCATATGCTAGTAGCCTACTGTGTGGTGCTAACCTAACTTGTACCAATTGGACATGAAGCATATTTTGACTTCATGAAGAGAAGACTTACTAACACACAGGAATTTTGTATTGGAAAGTATTTGTTAATTTACCACCCTATGCCACGTGCTCTAGGTGTCCCTGCTGCAGCAGGGAGGTTGGACTAGATGATCTCTAGAGGTCCCTTCCAACTTTAACCATTCTGTGATTCCGTAAAGATGAATTCTTGACAAATAAGAGTTCAAGCCTACTATTGGGGTGGATAAATCCCCTTTGATAAATACGAGGGCAATTTCTCTGACTCTGGAGTGTTGATCTAAAGACCTAGTGAGGAAACCTGTACTCTTTGGCCTTTCTAAAAATATGGAACCTGAATAACCGAAATCCATAACAAAGTAAAGCCAGATATGGTCTTTTGCCAAGAAACTGCTAGTCTCAGCAAATAGCAGTAGAAAGTTCCCATCCTCATTCTAGTGAAGGTTTATGTGTCAATGAGCTGTTACCAGCTTTATGTTTAGTGCTGTAGGTCTCAACAGAAAACTTTGCTATAGTTCCCCCAGTCCTCTAATCAGTACTACTCGCTGAAGTATTCGAGTCCTCTAGTTTTCTCTAGATGAATGCTAGTTTCTGAGCTAAAACATCTCCCAAAGTGGAGTTTCTGAAAGCTTTAGATTATTCAGAATGACTATCTTGGGGCTAGAAGGTATTTAGAATTCTCTCCCTGTTTTCCAGTAGGCTACTCAAAATCCAAGAATCTTTGAGGTTTAAGCATGGTATATGTTGCAAATAAAAATGGCTCCAGCATTCATTGTGCTGCCCTTTTTCTAGAGGTGCTAGTTATTTTTGCTAGCTGCTGTCAAAAGGGACTCCAAATTTCAGTCAGTAGTGAGCTTCGATACCAAAAGCAACCGTAGAATGTAAATATATACTGCATCTTGAGGACTATGTGAGCACTGTGATTGCAAAATAAATGCACAGCTCTTTTAAAGCTATCATCGCTGGAGCTCTTAATCTCAATTGCTGCAACATCAACCTGAAGGCCTTAGCACTAGACTCTATCTATGTTACTAAATAATGTCAAGCTGGAGATTGGGGCTTCTAGGTGCCTATTTTTATTGCAGCTAGTGTGCTGCTTGGGAATGGCTTGTGTGACAGGCTTGCCGCAGGCAGAGTCTCTTCCACAGCTTTAGTATGTGGACGCTCATCCCCGTTTTATGCCTGGATGTGTGAAGCAGCAATCTGAACTCACTTTCATACTTGTACAAATATAAGTACAGTTATTGGAATTGCCAGTTCTAACTTCTGGGGAATTGATGGACACCACAGACACTTCCAAAATGAGCTGAGCCCAATCAGCTGGTAGCTGTTTAATATTTATGCCAGTGTGCTTCTTGTTCTGGATGCACAGCTCCTTCACAAACAGCCAGACAGGTCAGGATGGGAGGTGCCATTGCCATGGAATTTGCTACTGTGTATCCTGGAGCTGACTCCATGAAAATCAGGCCTCCTTCCCCTTTTATTGACCAGTGCCCTTGCCACTACCAGTCTATTTTTTTTCTAAGGTCATTTACCAGCTCCTCTGTGGTAAGCTTTTCTCTACTGTTTAATACAATGGCAGAAAGCAAAAAAAAAAAAAAAAACCCTGCAGTTCTCACAGTAGTTCATATTAAGCCAGTGCAGTATTCTTGTATCTGGGTTTTGGCTCCTGGCAACCCTGAAGCTTTTAAAACTAGAAGAAGGTTAAAAGGAGAGACTGCCTTTCAATGTGTTGCTGCCATGACTTACATCCTCTGCTTCCTAAGCCCTGTTGAAAGAGAGTCTTGATCTATTCATCTGCCTTTTATACCAATACTTGGGAAAGGATGCAAGAGAAAACTTAGTTTCCCTTCCCTCAGTGCTACATTTGCTTGTCCTCACACAGAATGTAGAGTTTTAGAATGCAGAATATGTAGAATATTCTCATGCAGAATATCAATGTTATGTCTCTGTTATTTAGAGGAGAAAATAAGGGAAAGTATCCTGTGGTTTACAATGGCCTTCCTAAAGCTACTAATATCTTGATGCTTTCAGGAATACCTTCTCCTCTTCTGCAGAAAGTTGATGTGGTCTCTGAAGTGTCCCAGGAAACTTGTGAGGCACTGGCTGACTGCCTCAGCCTATTCACGAAGCAGGAAGGGGTATGTATTTTGTTGAGTGAGATTCTAAAGGCTCTGAATAGCTTAGGATACTCTGCTAGCTCCCTGCTTACCTGCTATAAACAAATACACCTATAGAGCTAGGCACTATCGTATCATGTCTTTCACATGCTCAGTGTCTAGTGGAAACTCACGCATCTAAAGAGAGAGTATCTAAGTTCTTTACAAAAGGTTATCTTAGTATAGAGCATTCAAAATAGGCCTGGAACTTGCTCATAAATGACCATTTTACATGTTTAAACTGAATGATTGAACTGAACGAAATGGTTGCTTTGCTAATTTGAAGATTACTGTATTGCGGAAAATGCTTCTCGTTTTTGGATCTATTGTGCTGAACAGTATTGCTTCTGAATTTGTTTTTCGAACCGTGTGGTTAGTGGGTGTATGAACACAGTATCAGTTGGACTTCCGTCTTTTCTGGTGATAAATATCTAGTATGGTGTTCTATAGTTCACATATAGTTCACATATAGTTCACATGGTGAACTATAGTTCACATGCTTCAGTCTGGGAATTCATCGTAGGTTCATTAGTCCTAGACCTAGGAGATTTTTTTCTTTCCTTCTTTCTCTAAAAGTTACATTAGTATCATGGGATAAATGCATCTCTCTGAACGGCGATAACAGTAATTCCTCAGTTTATCTCTTGTTGCCATCAGCTAGCTGTATTTCAAAATGAGGTAGTGTTGGTGCTGAAAGGTCTCCTCCAGTTATTGAACAATGAGCCCTGTTGTCTGCACTTGCTTTACTTTTTTTTTTCATCCCCTTCCAAAGCTTTCTCTCTCTAGTCACAAGTCTTCTAGACTCACTTGAGTCAAGCTCCAGCAGAGTGGATCAAGCATTGGTTTCCTTGCACTTTTTTTTTTTCTGTAAGAAAATTGAGTATGAAGGTTGCCAGTTCCATTTGTGGATGAGGGGGAAATCGTTACAATAGTGGGTGTAGTGCTAGTTAGTATTTCTTAATTGTGTTGACATCTTGCTTCAAGCAGGACTAAAATATCTCTCTAGAGTGGAGTGTGGCAAAGCATATGGTGAAATTGTAATTCCACCTTACTTGAACTTGGACAGGATCAGTAGGTGTTAGAGCCCTTTCCATCTGGAAGCACATGGTTTTGGCCACTGAGAAACAGGCTGAGGTATAAACTTGAGTTTCTGCCATAGCTAGTGAAAATGCTCCCTCATGACCGAGAGGGAAGATGTGATCGAAGTGCTTTGTGCTCTGCTGTTTTTCAACTTCCAAGTGTTGCAATTTCAGAGTATAATGGGGGTTCTTAAAGACGCCACAAATGCAGACGGGAAAGGACCTGCAGCTGAGGTGTCTCCCTGGGACTTGTCTCTCGGAAAGAAAGTTTTATTTCCCGGCAGGAATACTTTGTTCCTCGGGCACTGCCGATTTCAAACCGGGCGGCCGTTGGTGGCCGTTGGGCG